GCCCTGAGCATCCTGAAAATCCTTGAAATGTTCCCTGTAGCATTTCCCTGAAGACGCCCATCTTCCTCTTGGAACACACAGGACCACCAGCTCCTCACCCTGCCGTGTTCCCATCCCAGGCTCCGCCAAGCCTGATGTCTCTGAGGAGGCCTAGGCTTCACTGGGTCACCTCCCACCTTGCCCTCCCCCTGCGCTTCACCAGGCAGAGCTCTGTGTCCTCCACCGCTGTGCCTTTGCTGGCACTCTCTCTCCAGCCCCGACTGCCCTTTCTCCACCCTGCCCCTGCCAGGCCCCGCTCTGAGGTCCCTCCGCCTGAGGCGTTCCCAGATTCCCTACGTCAGGTTCTGCCCTACCCCAGGCTCCAGAGCCAGCCCTGAGCTCACCACTCTGCTGGAACACATGCCTGCCCAGCATGGCATAGAGTTTATTTATGAGACTGTCTGTCTCCCCCCTCCACCCTGTCCCAGGAGCCCAAGGGCAGGGCTCTGTCTGATTCATGGCCCAGCACAGGGTCTGGCCAGCTTCAGGGAGTGTGTGCTGTGCCGCACTGATGTGAGCTGGCTCAGGGAGGAGACATCGTGGGGTCTGGTTGGCATGGAGCACAGGCCTGGGGTGGTGGGGACGTACTGATGCCAGGGTTCCTGGGAACCTTCTCGGCTCTCCCCTCTTCACGGGCTGCTCACCGTTCCCTCCAGCCCTCACCTCTCTGTCTCTGACTCATTCACTCAGTAACTCCTCTCGCTCATTCATGCATCTGCCTGCTCCTTCATGTACCCATTCAGTAATGGGGAGCTCGTTCATTCATTTCTTTGCTCACTCCTTTATTCATTCAACAAGCATTTCTTGAGCCCTGACATTATACTCAGTCCTGTCTTCTGTAGGAGCCCCGGACACTCAGAGAGAAAGTGGTCCCAGCCCAGTGCTGAAGATCTTCCATCAGGAGGGATGGCAGTGGGGGTGGGGTACACACGGAGAGAGAAACAAGTGGCTGCAGGGGAGAGCAACAGAGGCTGTGACAGGCGCTATTCAGTGTGACTGCAGAGGGGTCTGAGCTGACTTCACAGAGGAGTTGATCCTGGAACTGGGCCTTGGAGATTAAGAAATAAGAAGTAAGGGTGGGTGAGGCTGGGCTTAGCGTCTGGGGAGGCAGAGGAGGAAAGAGGGCAGAGCAGGGGAAGAGGCACTTTCTCTAGGACTTGGAGCCTGCCTGGCTGGGTGACTGGTGATGGGGGGGGCAAGAATGGCGTTCAGCCCCCATCCTTCATCCAAGTATACTGAACCTGCAGGTAGATGGCCAGTGCCCATCATGTGCCAGACAGTGTCTCAGGGACTGGGGGTGCAAGAACAACATGGACACCCGCCCTCAAAGAGCTTTCATTCCAGTGCAGGGAGACAGACAACCCCCCAAACAGAGCAGACATGGAGCACTAGTGCGCTTTAAAGAATTGTGGAGCCGGCTAGTTGTTAACTAGTGTGTTCAGGGAGGGCTTCTCTGAGAAGGCAATGCTTGTGAGTGATGCTGCAGCTGGGGAGGGTGTCCACTCAGATCCCTGTTGGGACACTGACCTGCTTGTTGAGGGCAGGGACTGGCATTAAGTCGACATAACAGCCCAGTGGCATTGGGCTGAGCAGCTGTACAACCCTGGCAGCTACTACCGATGCCTGCATCTGGGCATCCATCTGTCCCCTGTGCCAGGCTGCCCTGGGCTGGGACAGGCCTGCATCTCTGAACCCAGTGCTCAGCACAGGGCCTGGCATATGATCAGGGAGCCACATAGGGGTCAGAGTAGGGCAGGAGACAGGGACTGCTGCCCATCCAGGCAGGGGTCAGGGGTTGAGGAGGTTCAGGGGGTCTGGAGGGGCCTGGGCACCCATGGAAGGCAAGGGTATCTTCCAGTGAGAGCCCAGCCCTTCACGGTGAGCTTGGAGGAAATCTATACCCACCCCAACTCCCAGGCTGGTGTGGCAGGGGAGTATTGAGGTCCCCTATACCAGCATTCTTAGATTGAAGATCCTAGAGGTGGGGCCTATGTGGTACCCTCCAGGGGTTCGCACTGAGGCTTTTTCTGATCCTGGAGCCAGAGGCCAAGTCCAGGGACAGGTGTAGGGACCAGGCGCCAGGAGGAGAGGGCGCTGGGCATATCCTGGAGAACCTTCCTCTTCTCCAGCCTTTTTGTCTTTCTCCCTCTGCTCCCCAAGCTCTGAGCCCAGAGCCCAGCCTCTCCAGCTCTTCCTGCTGGGTCTGGGGTCAGCCCTGGGATTTCTCCTGGCCAGAGGAGGAGGCTCCTTCCACCCACCCTGGGGCTCCTGGCTTCACCAGCCTGGGGAAATGTCAGAGATAAGCATGCTGAACTTGAATGCTGTATAAGCAAAGAGGAGGGGCCTGGGAGCAGGGCCTTAGGGGTGATGGGGACCCTGTAGCAGAGCAGGATGCACCAGGGATTCGGGTCTGGCTGTGGCCTCTGGTGCCTAGGGTTTGAAGACCCCCTGGAGATGTTGAGGGTCTTTAGCTCTGTCCTAGATGGACAGAGCCGCAAAGGAGTGTGAGTCCAGGCTGGGAGCCTGTGAAGAAGATGCTCAGACCTCAGCTCAGCGTGGGTACCTTCTGCCCTGAGACTCGGGATGGGAGGGAGGCAGGGCCAGGCTTTGGATCAGAGTCACAGCCCCTTTCCTGACCTCCAGGAGATGCCAGAGTCCTGCAGACCACCATGTGGCAAAGCTTTGGCTGAGGTTTTTCTGTGGCAGGAACATTCACTCAGCTAGAATCAGGCTGGTGCTAGCTGTCAAACACACGAACTCTAAATTTTAAAGAAATATTGTTACTATCCTTCTTCCAGTCATCACTTTGACCAGCAGATACCCACCTCCTCCCCCACCCAACCCCAACACACACACACATAATTGACAGTTATGCGTAACAGGGACCTGAGGGAACTTGGGTACATTGGATTACTTTTTAATCCTTAGGATTTTAAATTACAAATGTAATTTATGCTTGCTCTAAAAATTCAAATATTACAGTAATAACAACCTAGAAAGGGAGATCTATTCCCCCCAGAGTTCTCTTCCCCAGAGGCAATCACTGTTAACAGTTCAGAAGTTTTTCCTCCAGATTTTTGTGTGAATGCTAGTGTAATGTGGATTGTTTCTTTGAAATGTAATAATGTACATTTTTCTCATATTTTCTTGTATGAGATTTTTCTCTCATTCACCCAGAGACACCCATTTACCTCAGGGAGGATTAAAATTGTTAAAACAATAATATAAAAGGAAATAAAGAACAATGCTTATTTAGCTATTGAACCCAAAAATAGGATTGCAAAGCCCATAACAAGAAAATGGTCTTAAAAACTGGCTTACGTGAGTGAAATATTGTTAGGATACTTGGGGCTGCACAAAGTTCAGCACAAACTGGCTTTAACAGTGAGATGTATTGGTGTGAGTAACCAGACTCCAGAAATAGGGTGGACTTCAGGGCTGGCTTAACACAACTGTTGCCCATGTCTCTACAGTCCTTGGCTGTGCCCTCCTCTGTCTGCTGGCTTCATCCATGGGCTGGCTTACCTCAAAAAGCCAAATGCCCAGGCTACACATTTGCCACCATGACATGCAGAGGGAGGGAGAACACATCTCTTCTGGTGGATCCTCCTTAAAAGCAAGGGCATACCTTTCCCAGAAGCTCCCAGCACGTCTCCCCTTGCATCTTGGCTAGGGTTGCCCGCTTTCTCCTGTGGCCAGGGGTGTGCCCTACACTAGTGCTTAGGTTTGAGTTGCTGGACCATCACACTGGCAAGTGGGATGGGATTCCATGACCCAGTTAGAATTGCCCATGGAGCTGAAGTTGGGGTCATCTTTCTCTGAAGCACATAGTTGGTAGGAGGGCAAGGTGGACTCCAGAATGAAAATTGGGGCATTTTCAAGCAGTGCAGGGAAACAGAAGATGGATAGAGAATCAACACGGTGAGAGAGAAAGTAGATCTCTCTGTTTCCAGAACTCTCCTCCAGATATCAAAAGCAAATCCTGGAGGACTACACATGGTGCTTTACTCTAAGGCACAGGAGAGAGAATTTAGTGTGTGATATAAGGGAATCTCCTGCCCAGCTTGGGAGGAAATGGGGAGTGTTTGCATTTCTCAAAGCAGCCACTAGAGAGTTGGTAAAACAAATCTGAGGAGGTAAGAAGAAGATGCTGAAAGAGGGACCCACTGCCAGGCCTTTCTCTTCGAGCTCCAGCCTGGGTAGTGGTTGTGGAAAAGATAGAAATCCCAGATAGGGGCCTCTGCCCACCTCTAGAACTCTATAGGGTGCTGCCCACACCCACAGTAGAGTAGAAAGGGCAGCAGGAAGTGGATGTTAGTTTCTTGGGCTGCCGTAACAAATTACCACAAACTCCGTGCTTTAAAACAATAGAAATTCATTCTTTGACAGTTCTGGAGGCCAGAAGTCTGAAATCATATCAGCAGGGCTGTTTTCCATGAAGGCGCTAGGGGACAATCTGTTCCTTGCATCTTCCAGCTTCTGGTGGCTATTGGCACTCTTGTGGCTGAGTCACTCCAATCTCTGCCTGTCTTCACATGGCCTTTTCTTCTGGTTCTGAGACATCTCCTCTTCTGTGTCAAATCTTCCTCTGACTCTCTCTTATAAGGGCACTTGTCGTTGGACAAATGTGCAGCTAGATAATCCAGGATGATCCCATCCTGAGTCCCTTAACTTCATTACATCTGCAAAGACCCTTTTGCCAAATTGCATTCACAAGTTCCAGGGGTTAGGATGTGGGTGTTTCTTTTTAGGGCCTAACATTCACCAGGGTGTTTAAGCAGAGAGAAGACCAGGGATTCTGCCCTGAGTCACCCTCATCTCCTGTGTGTTGTGGGAGGGAGGCCCTAATTTCCCAGCACCCAGACAATTGGAGGAAACAGAAGGCCATTGAGAGGTCTGGAGGGTCACTTGCCAGGCAGAACACTGGACAGGGACACAATTATCCTGAAGTCCTAGCAAGACCCCAGGAGATTCACCTTGCAGATTTGAGTCAGCTCAGCTCTTCTGGAGCTTCTGCCAATCTTTTCCCGAGTCAGGACAGAACCCTGAGTAAAGGTAGAAGCTGCACAGTAACAGCATCTGGGACAGAAAGCAGGGCTTGGAACCATCAGGATGAGACACCCCAACAAGAAGGTGAGATGAGGCCAGAGAGTGGCCCTTCCCTGATGCCGTGAGAACACCCAAACTTCCAGCTCTCAGATCCCATCTCGGAAGGGAGGCCTCTTGTCATGGGGAGATTGCTCTGACGGGGAACTGAAGTTTGCACCAACCAAGTCTCCAGTGAGAAGGAGTTACCTTTAGTTGCCAACAGTGTTTCTTTTCTCCTCACATTTTAGTGCATAAATGATAAACTTCCTGCAAATGGTAAGGCTGCCAGGCTTTATTTTTTTTAATGGGCATATGTTATATGTATTATTCTACAACTTGCTTTTTTAAAAACTAGCACTTTGTTGGGGCATGATTGTGTGAATTGCTTTCAACACTTTATACATTACAGACGTATTTCTATAACAGTATGTTTGCTGTTTTACCTTTTTAAATCTACACACTATAATTTATTTAACTAGACCCCTATGGATGACTCTTCAGGTGGTTTGTTGAACTTAATTGAATTAATAAGTGAATCAGTTGAGCAATGTGCAATGGTGCTCATTCATGTCAGAGTTGCAAAAATGTATTTTCTTCCATTTCTCATAAATCTATATAGCTCTGGCCTCCACATTTCAGCAAATGAAAAATTAATTAAATGGCCCCAGAACCACTGGCCAGACAAATGCACTGCAGCTGTCACCACCTTCCAGAGCACTCTGAGGAGTCAGAGGGAATGCAGCTTGCCAAGACACAGCCATTCCAGGGTGAGTAACACTTTGAACTCTTGAACACGAACTGTTGGCAGTGTTTACTCCACTTCATGTTAGTCAACTGTCACTTCTCAAAGAAGGGCAGCAGGACAGGGATCTTTGCCTCATTGCAACATTCCAGTTGCAGTGGCCCTCTTGAGAGGAACTCCCTGCATATCTCTGGGTATCCTTGGGATATGAAGGTGCAGAAAGGGCTTGGCTGTATTTTCACCTAGTGTTTTAATCGGAACCCTTTAGACTGTAAGTGACAGAAACTCTGATGTAAGTAGAACAGGATATGTATTGTCTCAGGCAAATGAGAAGTCCAAAGACTTCAGACATGCTGCATCCAGACGTTTAATTGGCACCATTAAGACTACCTGTCTCTCCATTTCTGAGCCAGGCCTGCTGGTCTTTGTTTTTCCTCCATGTGATGTAAGATGTCCACCAGCTGCTACAATCTCATCTTTACAGTTCACAACCTCAGAAGAGAGTTTCCAGAGAGTTCTAGCAAAAGTCTCAGGGAAGACTCCTATTGGCCTGGCTTGGGTTATGTGTTTGTCCTTGAGCCAATCACACTGCATGTGTGCATGTGTGTGTGTGCTCTAGTTAGCCAGGCATGGTTCATGTGTCCCCCTACTGGGCATGTGAGGAGGCTGCCCCATCTGAGCCACACAGATGGAGCTGGATTAACGGGGGAGATGTGGCTTGCCAAAGAAAGGCATGACTGACAAACAGGTGTCCATGATGCCTGGCCTCCGTCAGGGTTATACCTCTGTCTGTAAAGAAAATGCTTGCTTTTTGGCTACAGAATTGGGTATGGCTGGATTCCAAACTGAGAGCTGTGCAGAGCAGTAGGACTCTGCTCAGGCCTGTCTTAGGTTCCCACTTCCCAGTCTCCCACAGGCCAAAACAGTGTGGGTGAGGTGCCCATCCAAGCTCATACCCCAAGTCCAGGCTTTCCCTGACTCTTGTGTGGGTTCTGTGGACAGTGCAAACTTTCGACCCGTGAGGAGACTTTAGGAGGGCAGCACAGTCTGAATTCAGGTGACATGAAGTTATATAGTAAGTGGCTTTTCTCAGATTTCAGGGCACCCTCTACCTGAGCTCAAGGTCTTTAGTTCAGGGCCAACCTTGCAGTCAGCCTTTGACTCCCCTGATTCCCATGCAGTGGTCTGGGCCTCGCTGTCCTGGGAAGATGGGGCTCAGTTGTACTTGCTGTCTGTCCAGGAACCAGGCCTGGCTTGCAGCCTTTCTGCTGGGAGTGGTATTTTTGTCTCCTGGCTATGGGAGGCGTTCTTGGACTTGGGGTGTGTGCTATGCTGGAGACTGGTTGGGGTGAGTCCAAGGACAGGGAGGTGCTGGAAGACAGCATTTGAAGATAGCCTTAAGGATATAGCCCAGCTTGGGTTTCTAAGCAGACAGCATATATGTGGGGCATCTGCCCTTTCTAGAGCCTCCAGAAGGCAACCTTCCATTTGACCTCCATGGTAGTGTTTCTGCTGGTCCCTACCTCAGTCTCATATTCCTCTTATGTGGTCCCAGATGTCCCGCTGCTGGAATGTCCTCTCCTGCCCGGCCAATCAATATGCATCCTTCCAAACCCAGCTGCGCTCGAGTAGGCACTTCATGCAAGTGAGAATTTGGCCATTCCCAGCATGTGCAGATGTGCTGCAGTTTGTGTTTCTTCCAGTGGCCAACGGCTACAGCTCTGAGCCTCAGGACTTCTGCAGAGCCTGGGAAGGCTACACTGCCTCAGACCAGGAAGTTAACTCCCTCCCATAACTTGAAATAGCCCTCAACCAATGACTGACAGGGATTTGTGTATAAAAACCCAGCTCCCTTGCTCCCTGAGTGGGATGACTCTGAGGTGTGTGGTTTACACAGTTTCCCCACGGTCTCCCTGAGGGATTGAACTCCAGATGCCCAAGGTGGAGACTTGCTTGTTGACACATACTTCAGTGGTCTCTTCCCACCCCCCTCACTCCTTCACTACCTTATGAGCTTTCCTAGGACCACTGGCAGTTATGGACTGGATTGTGTCCCTTCAGCCCCGAGTGTGACTGTATTTGGACCTTTAGAGAGGTAGTTAAGGTTAAATGAAGTCATAAGAGTGGGGCACCAATGTAATAGAATCAGTGGCTTTATAGGAAGAGGAATTGACAACAGAGATCTCTCTCTCTCCAGGCACACCCAGGGGAGAGGCCATGTGAGGACACAGAAGGAAGATAGCCATCTTCAAGACAGAAAGAGAGGCCTCACCAGAAACTAACCCTGATGGCACCCTGATCTTAGATTCTTAGCCACCAGACCTGTGAGAAAATATATGGCTGTTGTTTAGGTCACCCAGTCTGTGGTGTTTTGTTGTGACAGCCCTAGGGGACTACTAATACTCCTGCCAACTAACCTACTTGCTCTGGAATCTTTATCTCAGGGTCTGATCCCAGGACTTCTAACTAAGACAGGGACTCAACCCTGTTAGGCATCAGGAAAATGCAAATTAAATCCACAAGGTGATACCATTTCACGCCCACCAAAATGGCTAAAAGGAGAAACTTTGACTGCACCTGTGCTAGTGAGGATGAGAAGCTGTCACATACAGCTGTTGGAAGTAGGAAATGGTAAACCATTTTGGAAAACTGTCAGTGTCTAATAAAGCTGAAGATACATATATCCTATGATTCAGCAATACCAACCCTAGACACACACCCAGGGGAAAGATATACACATATTCACCAAAATTCAGGTGCAAAAGTGTTCAAAGTAGTACTATTTGTAATAGTCTTGAAAATGGAAACAGTACAACTTGAATCAACAGTAGAATGGATACACAAATTGTGGCCTATTTATGCAGTGGACTACTATACAGGAAGAAAAAAGGAAAGTACAAATCATAAATGTACAACTTGATGAATTTCCAAAAACTGAAGGTACACATACATTTTGCACCTAGATTAAGAAAAGGAACATTACTACTGCCCCAGCAGCCCCCTTCCTGTCTCCTTTCAGCCACTGCCTTTGTCAAAGGAAACGACCTCATTAACCTCTAGCACCATTAAAACTGTATATAAATGGAGTCTTCTGGGATATACTCTTTTCTTTTGTATGTTTCATTTGTGAGATCATCCATACTGTTTTGTGCAGTTGTAGTTCAATTTATTTATTCATTTTATGATTGACGGCCTTCTGGGTAGTTTTCAGTTTGGGACTATCATAAATAGTGCTGCTGTGAGCATTCTAGTACACATCTTTTGGTGACTATATCTAGGCATTTCTTTGGAGTACATTCCTTGAATTGTGGGTCCATGGCTTGTTTTGATTTCATTTTTCATCTTCTGCTGTCCTGATCCCCATTTACATAAGCAAGGAGGCCTGCCCTCCTAGTTGAAGTCAGTGGGCCTCAGTTTCCCTCTGTGGCTGGGGCATGCCTGCCTAAGACTCTAAGATCTTCTCAAGGCAGTAGGATCAGGCTGTGGGCCCTTTGACCTCCTGGCCCAGCCCCTGGCATTCCTGAGGCCAAAGGTATCTGAGGGGAGGGGCGATACTGCAGGCTTGGTTCCAGCCGCCCCACCAGCTAGGTGCAGGGACTGGGCAGTGGGTGAGCCTCCAGTCAGGGCTGAGCCAGCACAGGAGGGCTGGAATGGCCAGAGCCCAGTCCAGGCCCAGGGTTCCCTGGGGAGGGGGTGGGCAGGTGATGGACCACTCTGTGCCCCACTGACTGGTGGCTGGTCCCCTTAGTGCCTGCCTGCTCTTCTTGGGACTCTATCGCCTTTCTGTCTACTGGGGACCAGAGTTGCTGCCTCACTGGCTTGAGGATTAAAGGAGATTGAAGATGCTTGCCCAGGCCCAGTGGGGCATGGGTAGCCTATTTTATAGCCAAGGAGGCTGAACCCAGAGAGGTTACAGGGCTTCTCTGAGTCACACAGGATTTAAGCCCAAGTCTGTCTGGTTCTAAACTCTGTGCTTTTTCAACTTAACATGGCTACCTGCCTGGGGGCCGACATGGTGTGATTTGAGGGGTGTAAGGAAGGCCAACCCCCATAGTCAAGCTCTGTCTCTCTGACGCTTGAGTTTCCACCATTAGAACCTTATTCCTCTGGGTTAAATAATAACCTTTTCTGGAAGCATGTAAGGATGAGGGACAAGACATACAATATCCAATGTTCTGTGTGCAAATGATAGATGGCAGAATTGAAGAGCAAAACCCTCAAGGGGAACGAAGATCACTTCATTCGCCCCCTCTTCCTCACTCCCACCCAGGTCCTGTACCATTTTATGAATGGAAACTGAGGCCTGAGAAGGGCACTGAGTTGTTCAGACTCACATCTGTGACCTACCCCAGGGAGCTTCCTTGCTTTGCCAGAAGGACCCAGGATAGCAGAGGCTGAGCAGGAGAGGCCCAGCTGAGGGCCCTGGGGTTTTTAGCCAGGGTCTGCCCCGGGGTTGCCAGGGAACAGGTGTCTGAGGCACACTTCTGCAGAAGGGAGGGAGGTGTGGGTGTGGTTTTGGGCCCTGAGATAAGCCCTGCCTGCCTTCTGTCCACTGCTGGCTCACACCTATGCCCTCCACCCCAGTGCATGGGCAGCCCCACGTCTCCACCTGATACTGCACAGCTCTGGGACTGCAGCTGGCCTCCCCCTGCCCAGCTTCCTTGGATTGCCCCAGACCTCTGCTAAGCTGCTTCTGATCCTGCACCAGGTCCCTTGAGACATGGGATTCCTTGGGGCAAGGTTGTCTTGGCTGCACAGGCACTGACAGCCCCACAGCTGCTGTCCCTCTGGCTTGGGTTGGGGCCCTCACAAACAGACCCAAACTAGGATTCTAGGGCATGGAGTTTATTTGCAAGGTGAATCCAGGAGAGAAGGAACCTAAGAGGGGAGAGAGAGAAGGCCCTGGAGTCGGGGAGGCTTGAATCCCATCTGTGCTGCTGATTCACCTTCTTAGAGGGTCAGTTTCTGCTTCTATAAAATGGGAATTAAAATACTGCTTACCTCTGGTGTGGTGGGAATCAAATGTGATAAGGCTTGTAAATGGTGGGGGTGGTGCTGCACCTGGGGGAGACTGATAAACGGAGCTTTTCCTTTCCTCCCCTGGGCAAGGATCAGGCTGACTCACCTAGTCCGGAGGCACCAGTGACCTGCTGTTTATGCCGAACCTTGCTGCTCCCCTCACAGAGCCTTCCTCCTCTCTCCTTCCCTCTTTACCTTCAGTTTTCAAACTCAGTGACTGATATCAAAGCCATGCTAGGTCAGGATAGGCCCCAGGGACCCAGGAATGCTTTGAGCTTTCCTTGCCTTGGGAATTCATAGCTGGGAAGACAGACAATCATGTGGCCTGGTGGTGACAGGGGTGTGGGCTTTGACATATAGGTAGAAGTTTGTGAGACAGGCCCAGGGCAAGGAGGCAGTGAGGGAGAGGGAGGAGCCAGAGGGGCTGGGGTTTGGGGGGAGAAATTGTTCTAGGAACAGGAGGGAGGTGAGCAGAGAAAGGTAGGCAGCTTGTATTTTGAGGTTCCTGGCAATCGAAGTCCCAGGCAGGTATGATTACTTTGAGTAACAGATGAGGAAATGGGGGCTGGGGAATGTGACTTGCCTGGTTGCAAGGACTGTCAGAGAGGGGCTGACCAGGGTTCTTTCTGCTACACCCACTCCTCCATCCTCACCAGGGCCACAGCTGGGGGCCCCTGGGTCCAGACAATACTGTCCCTGTGCGTGGGGTGGGGATGGAGCCTGAAAGGTGGCAGCCTTGGAAATTGAGGCAGGGTCTCTCTGCTCTGACTCCTCCCTTGCCCGTCCTGAGCAACCTGGCCTGTATGAACTTACCCAACGCTGCCAGCCCAGACCCCTAACAGCTCCCTGGATGGAGGTTGGGTGGGAAGGGGGAAATCCTCGACTTTCACACTTTTTGTTCCAACTCCATATGAATTTTGCATCTATGATATATCCATGTTTGTTACTAACATCAGCAAGGTTTATAATGACTTGCTAATTACTAAGATAATTAATCTGCCTGCAAATAAAATAAGACATCTAGAGTTTATACGGTGACACAGACCTCTGTTCCTCAGTGTGAGTAGGGGGAGAGGTCCAGACAAGGTGGGCATGGAGCCTGGACGAGAGGTCTCGGTCGGTTTGCAGACCCCAGCATGGCGCCTCCAGGGGTGCAAACACACGTGGATGTGTACTGGAATCTGCAGAGTCACAGGACATTTCCATACATAGTTATGCCCACATGTGCACTGAAACACCCCTACATCCACACGCATGAGTGCAAACCAATGCACACACTCACTCTACACTTACATATTCTTCATGCATGTGTACTTATACATTCTTGGACACAAACACATATGCCTACATGTATGCCCATATCACTTGAGCACATGCCAATAATTCTTTAAAAAGTTCATATCCATAAAAGGGCACACACACCCATAATCTGTAAGCATGAAATTACACACACACCCTGCAAGCATATATGCATCCTCAGACATGCACACACATCTCTGTAGTCACAACCAGGCAAAGACTTACATACTTGGGAACATTCAGTCACTCATACTTGTAACATGTTGGCAAGCACAGGAATGCACACATATGTGGATTGTGCATGAATACCCATCACACAAGACACAAACTGAAAGGCCTGTTGACATGCAGAAGCCTCCAATTGTGCACACAAGAATCACATTGTACGCATAGGTGTCCCCTTGTGTGCATGTGTTCATGCACCATCTCATATTAGCCAGGTGTGATTCTGGCATACCAAGTTCACTGCACTGCATCAGAGTCATAGGGAGGGAGCCTCAGATGCCTGGTCTCAAGTGGTAGGGGTCTGCCCCCCTCCTTGGCCTCCCTGTGCTTTCCGTATCCCCAATCTGCCATCTCCCAGGAGGAGCCCTCCTTCCACCTTGGGAGTAATTAACATGCGTGGCAACTATAGAGCCTCCAGATGGAGCAGAATCTGTACCCACTTCCGGGAAGGGATCTCCCCAGCCTGGCAGCTGGGAGCCAGGAGGCAAGGAGAGACAGTGGCCTTCTTGGGTCTACACAGCAAGGTCTGGGAAGAGGCAAGACTGGGATCTAGCCTTTTCCAAAAGGGTAGTTTGGATCCTGGGTTGCAAGGCAGCAGGACACCCCAGTCTTCCCCTCTTCAAAACACCTGCAAGTCTCCCATTGCACATGTTTTCCAACGAAGATGCTAATCCAGAAAGGCCCTGCTCAAAGGCACATTTCTTGGTGGAGAGGTTGGGTCAGCTGAGGAAGGAGACTGCCCAGCCCCTCCACCATCACTGAGCTCCCTGGGGGACCAATCAAGAGGTGGGGGACTGATGCCAGCCACAGAAGAAACAGGCCTGCAGCCGAACAGGATCCTAGATACCACAGCACTATGAGACCCAGAGGACCCTCTGTACCAGCTGGTTGGGGTGGGACATGGGTGTGCCTCCAGGTCCCTCCCTTTCTCACCCTGGGAGGTATCATGTGTATCGCTTTTGCATATCAGGTTCCTTATGAAGAAATGGAAGCTACACCAGAGCAGCCAGTGCTGGAGGGGATGTAAGAAAAAGGGCATTCGCACCAAGTGGGTGCAGGATTGCAAATCTCAATCCCAGTCTCATCGGAATATTGAAAGTGTGCGTGTCCTTTGACCCAGCAATTCAACATTTAAAAACCCGCTCTCTGTGGACAAAGATGTATAAACAAGGTGTTTACTGCAATGTGTTTATGCAAATACTAAATGGAGGCCTTGCAAAGGGCATCAGCAGGTGAATGGTTAACTAAACTGCCTTCTGTTCGTGCCAGGAACCACTGTGAACAGTTAAAATTGAGAGACTGGGTAGATTCATGTGTACTGGTCTGGAAAGATGCCCATGGAGTGAGCAGAGCAGTCACAGAAGAGGGAGACTTATGTCTCCACTTATTATTTTAAACACCTCTTAAAAGTTGAATATAAAACCTATCGGAATCCATAGAAAGAGGCTCCATAGCGTATTCTCAGAGTGGTTACCTTGCAGTGGGGAGAAGACTTACTTTTTATTCTAGATGCCCCTACATTCTTTTGACTTTTTTAACCACAATCTTTTGGGTACATATCGTCTTACTTTTATATTAAAAAAAAGAAAGAATTAAGATTTTTTATCCCATTATTCAACAGATGGAGGCCCTGAGGAGGCAGCAGCCCATTCCAGGTCATGCACGGCCTTGACTGCATCTCTGACCTTGATGCCCCCAAGGATTGTCCCCTTGTTGCCCAGTGGCAAGGCATAGGGGCCAGAAGAGGAGCCATGGCTTCCTTGATGGGGGTGGGTGGAGAAACGTGCTCTGGGTTGCAAGCCAATGAAGTGGGCAGTGGAAGCCGGCCCACCTGGGTATGGAGAGATGTCCCCTTCCTGGGAGGATCAACTGTGTGCCTGGATAGTGATTCTTTATCACTGGGGGCCCTGTTCTAGACTGTGGCTCTGCCTGGCAGACCCTGGCTCTGTCACCTTTAGAAACACTGCTGAGAAATGCCACCCTTTGCTGAGGGCCCAGTGGGTGTTGCCCCTGGTTGCTGTGGGTGCTGACCTAAACTATCTTACTTCACCTGAGGAAGCAGTGCTGCCCAATGGTTAAAGTTATCATCTCTGGGGCTAGACCTGGGGCCAAGACTCCTATAGCTGCTCACTTAATGTCTCTGGAACTCAGTCTCTGTCTGTAAGTACTTCCCCATAGGGCTGCTGAAGGCTAAAATAAAGTGCTTAGACCAAAGAGTAGAAACATTCCCAATATCCATCAGTGGATGAGTGGGTAAACAAAATGTGGTCTATCCCCACAGTGGAATATTATTCAGTCATGAAAAGGAATGAAGCATTGATCCATACTACATCTGATGAACCTTGAAAAGATCATGCTAAGTGAAAGAGGCCAGATGCAAAAAGCCACACATTGTATGAGTCCATTGATAGGAAAAGTCCAGAATAGGCAAATCCACAGGGATAAGAAGCAGATGAGTAATTTCCAGGGTCTGGGGGAATGGGATATGGGGAGTGACTGCTAAAGGGTGTGGTGCTTCTTTTTGAGGGCAATGAAAATGTTCTGAAATTAGTGGTGATGGTTGTATAACTTTGTGAATATACTAAAACCACTGAATTGCACACTTTAAAAGGGTGAATTTTGTGGCATTTAAATTATGTCTCAATAAAAAATGTGTAGCAAAAAGAATTAGGAGTGAATATAGAATTTATGTGCAAATGAATGTTTATTGATGGGAAATCAAATGAACTTAAATATACATCTGTGAGGTAACATGCATTATGGAATAGCCTTATGATGATATATTATGTGGTCATAAATAAAACCTTGTTTTGGTACATTTTCTAAATTGAAAGAAAGAACCTATCATTAGGACTGTGCCTGACACATGAAGTATCGTGAGCATGGGCTGTTGGTAATGAACTCCAGGGCAGGCCTGCTGGGTCGGTCCTTCCATCCCACATGGCAGATGAGGAAACCGAGGCTCCGAGAGGGGAAGTGCTGTAGCTGCACTGCCCTCCTTCTGGCCTGCTGTCAGGGGAGTGCAGAGTCTTGGCTTCAGGCCAGCCTGAGTGCCTGTTCTCACTCTGCCCTTTTCTAGCTATAAGGCCCTGGTCCATCCCATCCCTGCATCATCCTGAGCCTCCTGCAGCCTCCGTGTCCCACCTGTGGAGGGAGACTAGAGTCTCTGAGAGGAGTTTCAGAGTGTGCAGCCCAGCTGATGGTGCCATTATGATGCCTCTGGGACAGGGTTCAAGCAGCAAAACAGGGACCAAATGAGTGGAGAGAATCCAGGGAGATTGGATCGTTTCTTCCAGGCCCGCCTGCCTGGAGTAGTGGGCCGACCATCCCTGGGAGTGACCTTCTGGCCAGGGAGGAAATCTCAGGAGGAGATGATGTGAGCTGATGCCAGAGGCACGACCTTTCCTTGCAGGTCGTTGTTCCATTTGGCATCCTGGGGTCCCTTTTCAATCTGCCATCCTTGGGAAAGGCATTCTACCTCCCTGAGGATCCCCTGCTGAGCCAGCCCAACAGAGTGGCTGCGAGAACATGCTCCCGGACCCAGAGCCCACATCTCAGCTTTCCTGCCTGTGCATTCTGATTGCATGATCTCGGGCAGGGAAGTTCATCTCTCTGAGCCTCAGCGTCCTCTTCTGCAAAATGGAAAAAACAACAGTGCCCACCTCACTGGTCCTATGATGATTAGAGGATAAGTGGGTGTAACATGCTTAGCACAGGATCTGGCACACTGAAAGCCTTCATAGCCTGCTGGCTGTTACTATTACTATTATTGCATTATTAACTGTGAAAGGACCAGAGGACCTATGTGTGCCTGGAGGCGGGGGGCTCGTCCCCTGAGCTCCTGTCTGCCAGCTCTCTGCTGCTGTCCCCCTTGCTCTCTTCCTCACTGAGTGATGGACAGGCTGGGCCCGTGGCGTCCTGGCAGGCCTGTCCTGGCAGCTGCTTCTTCAAGGCGAGGCCCTCTGCGCTTCAGAGAATTAATTAGGCCACATTCCTCTTCCAGGGCTCCTGGCGGGCCCGCACACAGCCCCTTTCCTAGCTGCTGAGGGCTCTTGGCTCGGGTTCCTGGCAGGCTGAGGCGAGGCCCACACTCTGCCCTCCCCTGAGAGGGGCTGGGCGGGCCCTCTTGAGCTGGAAGCCCTGGCCAGGGAGGGGCCAATACTAAGCCAGCAGCCGAAGGCCGGCTCCTGTCCTGGCTCTCCCCTGCTTAGCCACCTTCACTGGCTCCTCGTCACTCAGGTTCACATTCCTGGCATTGAATGCCATTCCCAGCCTGGCCCCTGCTGATTAGACTGGCTGCCTCTCTCCAGATTCTTTCATGCTCCGGCCAGACCACCTCCCACCCCAGCCTATGACGCCCTTTCTTTCATCCTAGCCTGTGCCAACCTTAGCCATCCTTCAGACCCTGCCTCACCCTGCTTCCCTTACCTGCTGAAGGGCAGCCATAACATAGTCCACCTTCTGCCCCTTCACTTTGCCCTGTGTGTCTTCCCTGCCAGCCTGTGAGACTCTTGAGGGCAGCAAGGGTGGCTGAAGCATGGATGCAGGGCATTTCAAGGGGTGAGAGCCACTGAAGATCTTCCTGGGCGGAGGCCCTTCCCCCTGCCAGGTGCTCAGGCTTGATCTGGTGCTCAGGGGGGCACTGCCCATTCCCATCTTCCCTTCTCCAGGCTTCCCCACATCCCTTTTTTTTTGGCTCCCTGAAAAGGGCTGAGAATACCTCCCTTCCCCTCAGAGCCTTACCGTGTGTTGTTCCCTCTGCCTGGAACACTTTGGTCCACCATCCTCTTCACTTGACTGATTCCCTTGAGCTTGGCCTAGATGTCACCTCCTTTAGGAAGCTCCCCTGAGTTCCCTACTCCAGGGGCTCCATCACAGTGTGATTGTCCTATCAGAGAGTCAGGACAGCATAGAAGTTTAGACCCTGAGGTTTAAATCTCAGCTCAGCTATGTACTAGCTGTGTGATTTTGAGCCAAGTTACTTAACCTCTCAGTTACCTCTTCTATAAAATGGAAATAATGATAGGATTGGCTGCATAGGTTGCTGTAGGAACCAAGGAATTCATATGCAGAAAGCACTTAGCACTCAATAAATGTTAGATACTATTTTTATCTTAATATTTAACAGCGTTTTCTTAATGGGCTCTCTCGTGGCCTCTGAGGGCAGGAACTGGGTCTGTCTTGCCCACGAGCCTCCTGGGAGGTGATTACTCATGAGCATATGACTCCTCTGAACTGAAAATCCAGCAACTTGGTATCTAACTTTAATTAGAAAGAGAGAGAAAGAGAAAAATTCCTTGGGCTTCTTTCCTGAGTGAGGGGGTTGGTGAGGAGAGGCAGCCCAGGGAGGAAAAAGGCTGGACATGTATCAGGCCGCATGGCCCTGGACATGGGGCCCCCCTGCTCTGTGTCTTAGCTTCCTTCTGCGCATGTAACTCCAACACATCGGGGTCACCCTGTGCCCCCTTCTGGCCTATCTCTGCCTGGTGTTCCAATAAAAAAAGAACACAAATTTGACCTACAAAGCCTTCAGAAAGCCTGTTAAGTATTTATGAGAAGGCAGAAGAGGGCAGGAAAAGGGGAGATTTTTGTCCCCCAAATCCAGACAAACTTCCTAAACTGTTGACACCTTTCTTCTCAGAGTTCCATTTACTGGGCAGCTGCTGCCCACAGATCATCCTGTCTCTTCTGAATCTCTGTCCCACTGTCACCCACACTTGCCCCAGCTACTTGGGATGTGCCTAGAAGCAGGCAGACTTCAGGTGCACACGGCCCGTTGGCTCTGTAAACTTCTTGTCCAGTGGAGAGACCTGTGACTGGGGAAGGGCCAGGGCAGAACACCCCTAAAGTGCAGGGCCCAAGCAGAGTTCCCCATTTCCTGGGAACATGGATTCAAAGTACTGTGGGGTCGTCTTGCCTTTACCTGCCTCCGAGGCCTCCTCTCCTCTCTTGAATCATCTCTGCTACTGAATCATTTGGGTCTCTGATCTCTGAACTCAGGCCAGGGCCACTGGGGCTGGTGCCAGGGGCAGTGAATGCCTGGTTCCCTGGGCCTATGACATGCCCTCAGCCAGGATCTCATCACCCCTCTGCCCAGCCTCCGTCACACCTGTTGTTCCAGGATTGTCCCCTCAGCTGCCCAGCCTGGCCACTGGCTGTTGCTTCTGGGGTCCCAATGAGGCAGGGTCATTTTGAATGGGATGCTGAGTGACCAGGGTGTGAAATTCCACTGGCATCAGGCTCAGCTGGGACTTGAGAGGTATGCTCTGGCCCTGGGCGGCAGTAGGAAGCGAGTGACTAGGCCGGTCCTGTTACACCAACCTAACCACCCAGGATGTACTGTGGACCCTGAAGGGTGGGGGGAAAACTTGCTTCTCTGCCTTCAGGGCCCTCATTCACTCTTGCCCTGTGCAGCCCTCTGGTGTCACATTTGCAAAGCCCAGCTCTGAGCAGGTCCCTTGCTGCTCACAGAACTTCCATGCCTCCCCATGGCCCCCAAGAGAAGGCCCTGGACCTTGAGTACCCTCCAGCATCCTCTCCTGCAGTCTCCCCTCCCTGTGCTCTGGCCACATGGCTCCTCCGTGGGGACCTCCTTTGCCATACCTATAGCCACACCTTCCTGCCCCCTCTATCTGGACCTCCCTCCTGGTTTTCTTTCTGTTTATTTGAGGCTCACTTGTCTTTGGAGACTACGGGAATAGCACCTTGGTCCAGAGGTCTTTCTTGGACTGCCCCTCTCCACCCAGCAGCTGCAATCTCTCCCCTTAGGCCCCTTTGCTCTGGGCCTGCCCCACCTGTTACATAATCACCAGTGATGGCCTGACAAGCAGCCTCTGCCTCTTACCAGGCCCAGGGTTGAGCTTAGCAGCTTGTTTAGTGTTCACACAGCCCTACAAGATAGGAAATATTATTTCCCATTTTATAGACAGAAAAATCTGAGGCCCAGAAAGAAATTTGTTCAAGGTCACACTGTAGTAGTGGTCCATGAATTTAATCAACAAATATTTGTTAAATACATAAATACATATGTACTATAGACTCTGGATTCAAAGCCTGATGTCACCACTCACTTACTGTGTGACCTTGGGCAAGTCAACTGCTTTCTTTGTCTATCAGTTTTCTCATCTGTAAAATGGGGATAATAAAAGTACCCATCAGAGAGTTGTGAGGATGAAACCAGTTAATCTGGGTGAAGTACCAGTATACAGTAGGAGTTCAATATGTGTCAACATGGTGTTCTTCCTCACGGGGGTCAGGGCTCCTGGGAAATGTGCTCCTGGGAAAGCCCTGGCCTGATGGGGAGTGTAGGTCCTGGAATCCTGGGTGTCAAAGCTATCAATGGCTGTCCAGGCATGTGAGAGGTAAAAGCCCAGAGAGGGTGGGTTAGCAGCCAGAGATGCCAGCAAGAGTGTGAGGAGCTCTGACTACCTGCCTCAGGCCTCTTCCTTCCCCTTCCTTTGTCCCTTTAACTTCCAAGTAGCCTCTTCCTGAGAGGTGCCTCCCACCCTGCTTCAGCCAAAACAAAATACCAGAGTACCATTTCATTGTTTATTATAAACAAGTCCGCAGGTAAATAATCGAGTCTAAAAAAATACATTAAAATAAATAACTGTAATTCTTGAAGTTCTTAGAGCAAATAAGTTATATACAGACAGGTGAAGCAGACCAGGCCCTCTCACCAGGAGTGTCCCAAGGGTATGAGGGTACAAGGAATCTGGGAGGGAGACCTAGAGGGAACAGACAGGGGCCAGCCCAGACACCAGACCTTGGGCAGGCCTACCCAGCCTCCTGGGCTGGCTTTGGCGTGAGCATCCATCAGAGCATGTCACTCCTGGTTAGAGCCGACCGGACACCTCTTGGGACATAGCCTTTCCCCAGGCGGTTCCTTTCAGCAGGGCTGTGGGGCCACAGCCAGTGTGGGAGGCCACTCGGCAGCCTGGGGGCTGAAGGCTTTCCTGGGCAGTATGAGGGCACTGAGCTGCCTTGAAGGAGGCTCCGTCTCCAGGGACGGGGGCTGGAGCCTGTGCCCCAGCCCAGGGCCGCCCCTCTCCTCCTGTCTCCACACAAGCTTCCTTCTCCATTTCCTTTAGCAGCCAGCACTATCTCTTCCTCCGCCTGGAGTGTGTAGGCCTGGGCTTCCTTGTTGCCTCCTGCTGTCGCCTAGCAAAGCAGATCTTGGCTGCAGAAATGTCCCTGGAATAGAGAAGGGTCACTTTCACATCCCAGGAGCTGTGGACTGCCTGGGAGTTCCCTGTAAGAGGCAGTTGTAATAGGACTGGATCCCTTACTTGCAGCTGCCTTGGGGTAGGGTGGACACAGCTAACACTGCAAGCAAGGTCTGCATGTCACATATCACGGAGAGATCAGACTAGGCCTAGAAGCTTCTTTGCCCACAGGGGCTATGACAAAGCTGATGTATAACACAAAATGCCACTGTAATAACCAGAAGGCCAGGCATGGGCCAGGGAATCTCCCGTGACCTACCTTCCCATTCCACACTCTGCTCATATTGTTCTTTCTAGGGTGTTTACCTCCCCTTACCAAAACCCTATCTACTAAAATTCCCATTCTTCAAGGTCCAGCTCAAGGTGGTCCAACCCAGACAAATATGGGTCCTAGCTGCCCTTTGAACCTAGTGGGGGAATTCTGACAACATCTGGGTAGCCTTGTCCTGGCTCAATCATTCTACCTTGGGAGCTAGGGGGCTGGCATCAGTTCCCAGCTATGGGAACTTAGGCAAGTGTCTCAACCTATCCAAGCCCCTTTCTTAGTCTCTTCAAGAAAAACAGGCCTGAACTGGCATGAGGATGGGTACAGGTCAGCAAAGCAAGCTCTGGGGCACTGTGAAGTGGCATGCACTTGCAAAGTCTTATCTTGACTTTTAAAAAAATCGTAAGACAGTTGTTTATTATGTGCCAGGTCCTGCCTATTCCACATCCTGCCTTTTCTCCTCTGTTTCTGCTGCTCCACAAAGATGGGAGCCCCTTAGGGGTCAAACTGGGCCCAGCATTAGCCAACCCTGAGGAGTCATCAGGGACAGAGGCAGGAGTGGCTGACACCTCCAGAGCTTCCACTGGGTACCAGACTGAGCTCAAGGCACTTCTGTATGTCAACCCACGTAACTGCATGACTCCATGAGATGGATGACTCTCAGTCCCTGTTTCAAAAGTTGGAACCTGAAGCACAGAGAAGTTAAGTGATAAGCCCAAGGTCACAAAGCTTGTCTGTTGTAGGGCTGGGATTCAAATCAGGCAGTCCTGTCTCAGAAGCTGCCTCTTAAGCTAATCTACTGCACAGCCAGATGTGGGGTTTCTGTACTCAAGTTAGCTTGGTTGGACAAACATACATGGGTACCTCCTGTGTGCCAAGCCTTGAGCTGAGCCCTACTGAGGCCGCCAGGGAGGCAACCCACTGGGACGGGGGAAGGAGAAGGCTGGATAGTTGGCCCTCCTAGATGCCAGTATGTGAGAGATGCTTGATTCAGACACAGCCTAAATGAATGTCCTTCCACAGCCACAAGCCCTCAAGCCCTCTAAAAAACTCCACTTCCAGGCCCAGTGATAACAAAGAGCAGAGTGGTTAAGAGCACAGGCTTTGGAGTCAGGCAGATGCCATCGACAGCTGTGTGATCTTGGGCAAGGGCCTCAGCGTTCTGAGCCTCCATTCTCTTGGCTGCCTAATGTGGACCCAGTCCTGCCTCACATGGAGAAGGGAAATGTGAAAGACATACAGGAGACACTGAATCAGGGCAGGTGCCCCTTACCTCAGCCGCTGGAGGAGCTCTCCTGCAGAGGTCCATGTGCTTCCAGCTTGGGACATGTCTGTAGGAGACCCACCACTTGAGACTGCCACAGCTCCAGCCCTAAATGAACAGCATTTGGGCCTCAGTGAGGGGCTGTCCAGGGCCCCAATGCCACCTGGCTGCAGGCCCAGCCCAGCCCCAACTCCCCTCCACCCCTTCAGGAGCATATCTGTTTCCACCTATGTGCACCTGGCATCCTTCCTTTCCCAGGCAGGGTGGGGACCAAGGAAAACTGAGCTATCGGGAATGTATTCTTAGCCCAGAAAGAGGCAGCTGGGCGGCTGGCCTTCCCAGAATCTGGCCACCTGCAGCTGAGCATGGCCCTTTGCAGGGGAAACTGAGGCAGGGGTGGAGCCACAGCTTGAGTCTCAGAGGAGGAATTTCTCATAACCCATCGTGGGAAGGGGAGACTTGGGCTTGCAAAGCCAAGTTTCTGCTTTCCCCAAATGCTCCAAGTGCAGTAGGGAAAGAACAGTTTGCCACCTCTTTACAGATGGGAAAACTGAGGCCAAGAGAGTAAGAACCTTGGTGAAGGCCCCCCAATAATTCTGGGTCAACCCTGGGATGGTGCCATGAACTCCCAGCTCCAGATGCTGCTTCTCCACCAAGAAAGCTCCAGATTCCCATGAGTCTCAGGTCTGAATCCAAAGCCCAGTGGACTTGGTCTGTCAGACCAAGGCTGAAGGCCCAGTTCTCCTTCTAACTAGCTGTGTGGCTGGACAGAACAAGTCCTGTCCTCTGTCTGGGTCTGAGCTGCCTCAGCTGTTGCCTGGGGAGAATCCGTTCTGCACACGATGCTCTCAGAAGCCCCCAGAGCTGGGCAGCAGGAGGGACTCTGCTGTGGCTGCTCCCCTGCAGGAAGGGACACTGCCCATGGACCCAGAGCAGCCTATGGCCCTGAGGACCCTGTTGTCCCCCATTAGCCACTCTGCTCCTCTGCCCATCTCCCAGACAGCCACTGCTGTCAGGGCAGGCCCAGGCCCCTGCAGGCTGGGTTCCCACTTACCAGGGCCTTCGATGGCAGAAGGTGGCACAGGCGGGGTCCCTGGCACTGCAGCATTCACAACGCCTTGGCAGGGAGCGGCGCCGGCGTCTTGGCGGGTTTCCCAGGCCGTAAGGAGCTGTCTGTCTGTGGGCAGGCAGCCAGCAAGGTAGTGGTGTAGGGTGGAGAAAGATGGAGAGGGAGAAGGGAAGAGGGAGAGAGGAGATTAGATAAACCATGACCATTGGCAAGCAAGGACTGTCCACACTGCACACTGGAATGGTCACCCATGCCATTAGGGCAACAGAAGGTGACTAGTCCCTGACCTCAGGAAGTCCTACCACATGCTCCTCCCTAAGGTGCCAGGTAGCTCTGGACAAGACCCCTCCTCTCTCTGGGCCTCTGTTAGCCCTACCTGGCCCTGCTCACTAAGACTCCTGGCATGGGGATGAGGAGATAGCAACTGCCCCCTCCCCAGGCTGGGAGGTGGGAGTCCTCCCACCTGTTCCCCATCCCAGGCAGGAACTTAAGCTAATGGAGCCAGGCTGGTACCCCTGTGGTCAGCTTGCCCTGGAAGAGGAGAGGAAATGCCACCTCACAGAAGTAAACACACAGGCCCACAGCCAAGCTCCCCCCACCTGGCTACCACTTGCCTGGAGGGCTGACAAATGTGTCTTAGAGCTTTAACTTAAAAATGGTGTGTGTACATGTGTGTGCATGTGTGTGCTTGCATGTGTGTGAGATCAGGCGGGATTGGCTTCAGAATCAGAGTCAGGCCAACGTGGGCTGGGGACAGGGCAGGGGCCCTGTGGCTGGTTGGACCAGCACCTTCAGGTGCCAGAGCTAATTTTAGATGTGGTTGGAGTTGCAATGACTCCAGGTAGACCTGGCATGCAGGGCCTGGCACCGCTCCCGCCCTTAGCGAGTGTTTGGATGCGGATTATCTCTACACACGCTTACGTGCTGGGCTTCTCCTGCCTTTTGCAATTTGGGGAAAGGAAAAAAAAAACCCACAAATAGACACAAAAACTTCAACCTGAAGTATGCAATGGCCCAGAGGCAGTGCGGGTGCAGACAGAACAGACAGCAACAGCATGGGGCCCCCATCCCAGCCCTGCCAGGTGACACAGGGCAGGTTTCTCTTCTGTCATTTGGGAACAACAACACTACTTGTCTCAAAGGGGAAGATGGGAGGCTCCTGAGATGATAATGCACGAGAAGCCCTTGGCATTGGGCCTGGCACAGTCAAGACAAGGGTGCTGTCATTAATCTTATTGTTCTTGGAAGATCATGCAGGGGCAGCATGGCAGAGTGGATATGAGCTCTGGCATCCAAGGATCTAGGATGGGACCTCCACCTACCACTTACTCCTTCCTGTGTGATCTTGGGGAAGACACCTAACCTCTCTGAGCCTCAGTACCCTGAGCTAGGAAATGCAGTCAATACCTTCTCACTAGGCTGTTGTGAGAAATCTCATGAGATAGCCCTCTATATTGTTTAGGTGGCCCCCATGTGGGAGTGAAACAATAACTGGTAAGTATTGATATTAGCCCAATGATCCTATCTGGAGGCCCAGGGAGAGCCCTACTGTGCCAGAGGTTCCTCAGTATGCCGGGAGCCCCCAGCACCTGCCCCCCGGCCCCGCTCCTAGCAGCCCCGCCTGGATCCCCGCAGTTGCTCACCCAGGAGTGTTCACCCAGATGATGTCCAGGTGGCAGAAGTAGACGCACTCCTTGTCGAGCCAGGAGCTGCAGGAGCAACGCCGAGGACGCAGGTGGGAGCCTCGGGCATGGGGCAAGGATGCTGGTTGCTCCGGGGTGGCAGTGGCCTGGCCCTTGCCTGCACACACAGGAAGGAGAGAGGGTGGAGAGGTGGGTCAGGGCACTCGGCACAGCTGTGACAGGGGGACCTGCCGGGCTCCTCCTCTTGCATAATTGAGGTAGTTGGCATTCTCACTCCTCAGGAGCTCCCGGCCAGCCCGGGGAAGCCCCAGCTGCTCCGGTGGGGAGGGCTGGTGGCTGCCTTGTACCTACACCACCTTTGTACTTGCAGAGGCCCTGAAGCCACCACTGCTGCCAGGATCCCACTCCTGTATGCCCGTGGCTGACTTGGGGGGTGCACCGCGACCCCAAGGGGCACACCCACGGACAGACCCAGGCCGCTGCAGCAGGCGAGGCCAGGGCGGCTCACCTTCATGCAGGGCCACAAGCAGCGCCAGAGCAACTGAGCACCAGGCGGTGGGCATGGCGACCATAGCGGCGGTGGAGGGCACAGACTGGACCTGAGCAGACAGCGTGCCTGTGGTCAGCGTCCTGCTGCCAAGCCGAGCAGATAGCTCATTGCCTCGGTGCCCTGGCGGCTTCTTATAATACCAGGCACAGCCCCGCCCCCAAACATCCAGCCCTGCCCTGCTGCACCGGTGGGCAGGGAGCCAGGGACACCGCCTCCTCCTGGGGCGCCTGGCCCGCCCAGCCTCCGCGGTGGGGAGGAGGACCAGGAGGTGGGAGGAGGAAGGGAAGGCCCCTGCCCCTCCCTTTGCGAGTCCTGAGGCTCCCCTGCAGCCCACAGAGACCCCTTCCAGTCTTGCTGGACTTCCTCAAGTCATTCCCAAATGCCCTAAGCCCCTCCTCCACTCTCTCCATGGCAGCCTCACAGGTCTTGCTCAGAGGTAAGAGTTCGGAGGGGGAGAGCCCATGAGCAAAAGCCTCCCCCCCGCTTCTTGGAGGAAACCCTGCTGCTCTCTGTGCCTACTGCCAAGCAGGCTGAGGATGCCCCTTCTATTGTGTGGGAGGCGAAAGGCCTCTTCAAGGCTGTGCGGCCTTGGGAAAGTCAGAGCCCTCTCTAGGCCTGATCCTCAGTGAAAGACTCTGCTCACCCCTGACCTCTGACCAGCCTGGAGCTGCCTCATTCCTATCGCACCCAGGAAGTGCAGTGTCCCTCTTCCCTCCTTCCTCTCCCTTCTCTCTCCAGGGGCTGGGGACAGGTGTCCTGGCCTTTCCCAGAACCTATTTAGTTGCTCAGCCATAGGCAAGGACATCCCTCCTGGGCTTCAGTTTCCTTGTTTGCAAAGCCAAGCCCACATGGGGGATTCTTAAACGGGTTGGCTCACAGCTCCCTTGAGACTAAGAAGAGGAGTTAGAGCCCTTCCAGAAAGACGTCCCTGTGGGCACACACACAAAGCGCCCCTGGAAGCGTCTCCCATCTTGGACATGACAGGATGCTTTAGCTCACCTTGGTGGCTACTTCCTGCACAAAAGGCAGGGTGGTGAGGGGTGCTCTCAGGGGCTGGCATTCTGCCTCTGCCCCTCTGCTGGCTCAGAAGCTGGGCCTGGCTGGAGACAAGAGCAAGGATGCACTGGTGCTGAGTGAGCAGCTCATGGAACTGGCATTGCCCTCTGTTACTGCACAGAGTCCACCTCTTACAACATCTTCTCAGGGCCCCTGTCTCCAGGCACAACAGGAAAGGCCTCCTTATTTCTGGGAATTCCCAGAGCCCATGCTCCCGTGCCTGCCTGACTCATGACATTGGGCTTATCTCCCCAGCAATCTCGAGGTCCAGAACTCCAGAAAAGGCAGGGCCTAGAGCCTGCCCAGCACACAGTGGGAGCCCTCTGAGTGAGTGCTTGCTAAGGGAGGGGACGAAGTGAAGGTGCGCCTGGCTTAGAACCTGGGAATTAGGTTCTCAGGAGCCCAGGATGCCAAAGTTCCTGTGTTCGGCAGCTCTTTTGTCAATTTTGATTCTTCCTTGGGTGTGTGCAGAGCATGCATGTGTGCGTGTGTGTGTGTGTGTGTGTGCGTGTGTGTGTGTGTGTGCGCGTGCCATCCTGGTGGAGTGGAGCAGAACCAAAGGAGGGAGATACCCACCTGCATTATCTTCCTCCTCCAGGCTGGGTCAGGCTGCAGTGAAGCAAGTACAGACATTACTGAGCTCCTACTGCGTGCTCAGAGCTCTTTCAACTCCTCTCCATCATGCCAAGAGGCAGCTCTTATCATCTGGGTATCAGCTCCACTGCTGCCCGGGAGAAAATGGAGATTCAGAGAAGAGCCTGGCCAGGGTCCCACAGCTGAGAAATGTGGTCAGCACTGGAACCCAGCTCTTCATCTCTCCAGCAAACCACAGAGACTCCCCATACAGTGCTCATTGTCTCCCTGCCATGGTGCCTCTCTAAGAATTTCGAAGAGTATTTCTGGAATGAGGTGAGCAATACTCCCAGTCATTTCTATTAAACTCCGAGAGAATATAAATACGGAATTAAGCAGTGTTGGGGTGGATAGGGGGTGGATAGTGAATTCGAACTACTGAACCATGAAGAGAAAAGAGAAGAAAAAGCAGGTCAGTGGTGAGAAAGAGGGGTCAGGCTGAAGAGGAAAACAAACAGGGAGGCAGATAAAGGCAGGTAGGGAGAGAGGGGGAACAAGGAAGCAGAGCATAGCAAGAAAGAAAGAACTTGGATTTGAGAAAGTAAAAGAGAAAGACCATCGAGAGTGAGAGCGAAGGTTCTAACATGTCTAATCTTTACACAAATGCAAAGTGCCTGCTCAGGACAATAGGGAACCAGAGGCTCCAAGTCTGAGAAACATAATAGAAGAATTAAACGGACTGGGAGACAGGATCCCTCATGGTGTGAAAGGAGGATGACGACAGGGCAGGGGCCACCGCCCGGGCCTCGCAGGGTCAGCCCGGGAGCTGTGCCGACTCCAGTTTCTCTCCTTCTCTGCCTTCAGCAAAAGCTGGGCAAAACAGCTCTCCTGTGAAATGGAGAGGCCTGGCCTGGGAACCTGAGCAAGCCCAGGTCTTAGGGGTGAAAGCGTTCCGGGAAGAGTGCTACCCCACTGGCAAGAGTTGGTTTCCAGCTAGAGAAAATTAAGCTGGGTTAAAAATAGCCAGCCCCAGCCGGCTACATCCCTTAGCCGGGGCCTAGGTGGCCAACTCTGCCCCTCCTGGCCGGCCTGGCTGCATGCCCTCAGCCCCACTGCTTTGACTCCCACCCACAGCCCAGCCAGCCGCCCTGCTGCACTGCCTCGACACCCCTTGGCCCTGCTACCTGTGGGCTGGTACTGCCTGCTGGTAGAGGACAGGGATCAGCTGAAGGCCACCCTGTCAGGATTTGGAGGGAATCATTTTGCACGCAAGATAATTAGCTCAACTCATACAAGCCCAACCCAAGAAAGAGAGGTTTCTGGGGAGGACAGGCTGGCAGAAGAGGGCAGGTGAAGCATATTTTTGAGTGAGACACTCTGCTAGAAACTGCCCTCTAGAAACCTTCTCCAGTCTCCACTCCCATTTGCTGGGTGAGATAACTGAGGTCCAAGAAGAGGGGCAACTTACTCAAGACCGTCACAGGGTCACGCATGTTCTCTTGGCCACTAATCCAGCCCCACTATTTCCTGTACCACAGTGAAACTCCCAGGGGTCCAAGACCCTGGGTCCATTTGGGAAGGGCTGCTAGGGAGGTTCCCACTGGCAGGAAGGCCAGGACACTGAGATGGGGCTGGGCCACTTTCCTGTGCTATGCCAAACTCCCTCTCTATCCCCTGCACTAAGAGTAAACATGGTCCCATGGAGCAATTGTCCAGTAGCCATGGGCTCTGTGTGGGCGGGCGGCTGCAGAGGAGTGAGGATTAAATGTCCTGGTGAAACTTTCCCACAGAGCAGGCATAGGCTCAAGCAGGTGCCTGGTGTTGTTTGCAGGAGCAACGGGCTTTTGACATTTCTGATGTCAGCCCTACTATTCATAATATGTGGCTATGGGCAAGTCCTGTCCCTTCCCTGGCTTCACTGGAAAGTTTTTCTGCCTTCCCGTTGACTGCAAGGGCTGCTCTCAGCTGATGGCTTATGGCCTTCAGAATCGACCTAGTCTGAGTTTGGTGCTCCCACACATAAACCCTGCACATCTGTGGCTGCATTGCTCTTGCTCCCAGCTTGGGACCCTCTGCTCTCTCATCTCTAGAAAACCAGTCTCTTCCCTCTTGGCACTTGGCTCTGCCAGGTTTCAGGAAGTTCTGCTTGCAGCCCTGATGGAAGGGACACAGTGTCTTGGTTGCAGGCACATACCGTGCAGGTGGCTTAGTGGAGCGAGCAGCTTCGGGAAGATGGGGCTGGCCGGGGAGAGATGTCTGGAGCCTGTAGGGAATGGGGGTTGGGAAGGGCTTGGCCCTGGAGGCAGCCTGGGTTAGGGACTCAGGGACTGAGGTTCAGACATATCCATCATTACTTGTCCCCAAGTTATATCCCCAGAAGGGCAGGCTAGGGCTGCCCCCGCTTGGGCCTGAGGCAACTCAGCCTCAGGGCCTCTTTCTGGTGGGTAGTCTGGGCCTTCTGCCATCAGCCACAGCTCACCTGAGCCAGCAGGGCCTACCACCACCCACACCATTGTCCCCATGCTGTGTCTCCACAAGGGCAGCCTCAACCCTGCGGGCCTAGTTCCCCTGACCTCCCCTGCTTCTCTTGGAGGACACCCCCTTGCTAGTTTTCCTCCTCCCTCCACCTCAGCCCATTTGGAAATATTTGTATCTTCCACATAAGCTGTACTTTTTAAGAAATAATTCATGTGCCTGTTTGTGATTAACTAAGGGTAATCAGAACAGGGTCAGCAAAGCCTATGAAACTGCTGGAATGTCAGCAGAAAGCAGATATTGTTCAGCCAAGGCACCCTTGTCAAAAGACCATGTGATGGACTTTTTGAAATAAGAAAGCCAACCCAGGGACTTAGCATCCAGGATGGAAATCTCTGGACTCGAAGTTTTTAATTTATCTCCCAAGTGCTAAGGACCCAATTCCCTACTTAGCCTTTTAGGGGTATGAGGTAAGCATGCATTTATTGAATATTGAATATATTCTAAGTACTGTGCTAAGTGATTTACATACATTTTCTCCATTAACTGTCACAACATAACTAAGAGGCAGGTACTGTAATTATTCCCTATTTTATAAAAGAAGAAACTGAGGCTCATGACTTGCCCAATGTCAGACAGCTAGAAAGTGACAGAGCCAAGATTAGAAAGAGGATTTGTGTGACTCCAAAGCCCTAACCCTGAACCCTGTGGGACCCCAATGTGCCTTCCTGACTCCCCAGCCAATGGGGAACTCTTGTGCAAGCAACTTTTCTCGAGGGGTCACCCCCCTCCTCTTACCAGGCAGAGAGCCCTCTGCAGGAGAGCGGGAGCTGAGGAGCAGAGGTAGCCTCCCATCTGGGTCCGTGGTGGGGGTGGGCGAGTCCCACTCTGATAGCAAAAACACAGCATGGAGCCCATGGCTACAAGGCCAGTCCCTAAGGCCTGGCCACAACCATTAGTAGGCATG